TGAGCGACTGAACTGAACTGAACTGATGTGAAAAACATTGAATTTCATCATTCACAGCAATCCCACTCCTGAGACATCCTTGTCTCTGTGCAGCAGAAACTTTGCAGAAGAAAGTACATGGTGGCATTGTCCACAACAACAAGAAACCCATAAGTAACCCAAATGTCCATCAACAGGAAATGCATAGTAAAGTGCATTCTATTCAGGATGGAATATTACACAGCAGTGGAAATGAGGGGACCATTGCCAAATGCAGCAGCGTGGATGAATCTTAGAATCACAACATCGAGTTGAGAAGGCAAAGTCACAATATAGTAACTCTCGCAACAACAGGAAAATCATATGACATAAGGTTTAGGGAGATACACATAAATGATCAAATGACTTTTTTTAAGTGAGGAAATGAACAGTGGATGTGGACAAGGTGGAATAGTTAACACTTTTCTCTATTCCTCCTGATAAGTATAACTAGAAACCCTGAATGTTGTTTATAAAATGAAGATGAGAAGAGTCTGAAAGGTGGAGAGGGGAAAGCAGACCATCCAGGGACCCTGGGGCTGGGGAGCAACACGGCAGTGAGTTCTCTGGGTTTTCCTTCTGCCTCATATGCCCTGGAAACGGTGCTGGAGAAGATGAGAACCTGGAGACACCAATGAGAACAGACACCCGTCCAAAACTAAACCTTGATAAAAATCCTCTTTAGGTGAACGACCAAGAAAAGCGCAGCTTAGCTAGACAGAAAACGCTCAGGTAATAACCATTCTACCGCCGAACACCCTAGAGAAACCGTGGACCCACTTCTACCGCATAACAAAGGCTCACTGGGGAGCCTGGGCTTCTACTCTGGCTCAGCTGTTACGAGATGACATCCTTCCCAGCTGGGGGGCATCAGAGAAGCCTGAGTGGGGAGCCAGGACCTACGCCCAGTGGTAATAAGCCCCTCTCCCCGCATCTTTAAGAGGAGCCACACAACAATCAGTACTAGGGTGTCCCTCTCTCCCTGGCCAGGGAGGATCCGTGGGGGTCTGAGTGAGTGCTCAGTCGTGTCTGACTCTCTGGGACCCTATGGACTGTAGCCCGCCAGGCTTCTCCGTCCATGGAATTCTCCAGGCAAGAATACTGGAGTGGGTTGCCATTTCCAGATCCAGGATTTGTCTCCTGACCCAGAAGCTGAACCCACGTCTCCTGCATTGCAGACAGCTTCTGCCACAGAGCCACTCACTGGGAAGCCCCCCATGGAGGTCTAGTTGGGAGCCTAACCGCCCCCCACCCCCGCTCAGCAGTGACGAGGTCTTCCCCCACACTGGCGGGGTCAGCAGAGGCTGAGTGCGGCACTTGCTATAAGAAGGATACATCCTCAATCCCTCACCAGCAGCAGAAGGCTGCTGCAAACAGAAGAGTGAAATAAGATCCAGACGCTCATTACATAACATGCAAAATGTCCAGGACACAATAAAAAATCATGAATCATTCCAAGAACCAGGAAAATATCAACTTGAATGACAAAGGACAATCAACAGACAGGAGGACCAAAATAATACAAATGTTGCAATCATCTGCAATGGGTTTAAGTCAGCCGTCATAAAAAATGCTTCAGTAAGCAATTGAAAATGTGCTTGAAGCAAGTGAGAGCGTAGACAGTCTCAGCAGCATGTAGAAGGCACACAGAGCCAAGTGAAAAACTTAGAGCTGCAAAATATAATAACAAAAAATCAGTGAATGGGCTAAATAGGAATGGAGAAGACAAAGAGTCTGTAAACTTGGAGCTACAGGGAGAGAAATTACTCAGTCTGGAAAGGAGAGAGAATGGACTGAAAAAATGTACAGGACTCTGGGACACCCAGAAGATAATCCTAAAAGATGTAACAGTTGTGTCTTTGAAGTTCCAGAAGGAAAGGAGGAAGAAGATGGGCCTGAAGGAGTACTCGAAGAAAAATGGCTCAAAATTTTCCTAATTTGGCAAAATGCATCAACCTACAGATTCAAGAAGCTGAGGAAACCCCAAACAGAATAAACTCAAAGAAACCCATGCCAAGATGCATGGTTTGTGTGTGTCTGAAATAAAACCCTGGAAACTTAAAGTTAAAAATCTTGAAAGCAATGAGAGAAAAATGACACCTTATCTATGTGGGAAAAATAATCTGAAAGTGAATTTCTCAAAAAACCATGATGATCCAAAAAGAAAAAAAAAAAAAAAACCCATCAATACTGAATTCTATATCCAACAAACATCTTTCAGGGAAATTAAGAAAAAAAGAAAAAAAAAAAAAAAAACCCATCAATACTGAATTCTATATCCAACAAACATCTTTCAGGGAAATTAAGATATTTTCAGATGAAGGAAAACTAACAGAATATGTATGTTGCCAGCTGAAAAAATAACTAGAGAGACTTCTTGAAACAGAAAGAAAAGGATAAAAGAAGGAAACTGGGGAATATCAGGAAGGAAGAGAAGACGAAAGAAGGGTCAAAATAAGGGTGGATGCCATAGATTTCCTTCTCCTTTCCTTTCAGCTTTCTTCCACTTTGTTTTTTGTTTTAATTGGAGTGTAACTGCTTACAGCCTGTGTTGGCTTCTGCTGTGGACACGGCGGGTTCAGCCGTGCGCACAGACCCCTCCTCTTGAGCACCCCCTCACCCTCTCCTCTTCACCTTTTTAGTTTCCCAAGTTACGTTTGATGCCTGGAAGAAAAATTAAAACCGTGTTTGATGTGATTCTCCAGTTTTGTAGAGTATATACAATATGTAAAACAGTCACGAATGGGGAATATAAGCAAGGCTAGGTTTCTACAGCTCACTCAAACAAGTCAAATGTCAACACTATAGACTGTGATAGCTTATGTATATAATTTAATACAACCACTAAAAAACTGATGCAAAGTGATGCATTTAAAATAGTCTAGGTAGGGAACTCCTTGGCAGTCCGTTGGGTAGGATTGGTGCTCTCACTGCTGAGGGCCTGAGTTCAGTCCCTGGTTGGGGAACTCAGATCCCGTAGGCCTTGTGGTATGGTCAAAAAAAAAAAAAAAATTGTATTGATACATTTAAATGGAATTCTGGAAAACATCAGTAAGTCAGGAAAAAGAAGATAAAAATGCAGAGGAAACCAACAGAAAACATTTCTCTGCCTCAGTTCCAGACTTAATCCACGATGTGCCAAAATTATCCCAAATGGAGATGGTCTAAACACAGAAATTAACAGAGACGGACAAAGTAGATAAATACACACCCAACTATATATTGCATATAAGAACTTCACTTTGAATATAAGGATGTATATAGGTTAAAAATAATTAAAGCCTGGAAAAGCATACCACGCAAATATTAATCAAAAGAAAGCAAGAGTGTCTGTTCTAATACCAGATAAAGCAGACCTCAGAACAACAATGAAAGATTACCAGAGCCAGAAAAGGACATTACATAACTCGTCAAGAAGAAAGAACAATCCTGAATGTGTCTATACACCAAAGCCAGAGTTGCAAGACATGGGAGGCAATGACCATATAGGACTGAAAGTGGCGAGGCTGGCTCTGCTCTGTGCGGGCGTGGCTGAGAACACCCGCGGTTGTGAAGGATGTTTCGTGCTGAAATCTCAGAGCCAGACTCGGGAGGCAACTCTAGTCCACGCGTGAGTAGGAGCCCCTGAGCTCCTTGGGGGGGGGGGGGTGCTTCATGTTCACGGGGAAAGACAAAATTTGTGCTGCTGTAGTGAAAAGTCTTCCACTGTCCCATGGATTTTTCAGTCGTTCTTTTTCCTGTGTAAATTCAGAACTTTGTTCCAACTGAATTCTATCTTCTCTTTGACGAGTCTACCAACTTCCTGAGGTCTTTCTTAGAATCTATTTGGGTAAAATATGAATTACTTTTCATAGTTCAGCATTCTGTGGAAATTTGAATATCATGCTATCCTTTTTCTTATCCATGTTTCATTGACCTAGTTAGATATTTTCATGAGTGTCATAGCTGAGAGTCGAGTCTAAAACTTTGAGAACCTCACTGTTAGTTTGAAATTAGCCATCGAAGCCTTTCTCTGAATGCAATGAGGTTTCAATCATCTGTGTAATTGTCATTCATTCTGTGTCTCTGTCCACAGAATGTATTGTATATAGCATATTATATTGTCCACAAATATAATTTGTGACTTCAGATTATGATTTATGAGTATTCCTTAAATAACCTTCATACAGTGTCATCCTAAACATGTAGGAAAGGTCCAACTTGACCTCAGAAAGGAGGCCACTTTCCCTGAGAAGCCGCACTCAGTCCTGTCATAGTGATCACAGGGGACCTGACTCTCAAGCTTGAATTTTCCTTGGAGGCATTTTCCCCATTCATTTAGGTGTGCACTCAGTCAGGGCCCACTCTGCAACCCCAGGGACTGGAGCCCGCCAGGCTCCTCTGTCCGTGGACTTCTCCAGGCAAGAATACTGGAGTGGGTGGCCATTTCCTTCTCCGGGAGATCTTCCCAACCAGGGATCAGGCCTGCCTCTCGCATCTGCTGCACTGGCAGAGGCATTTATTTGCTCGGTTCACGCCGTGCGGAGGGCTGGGGAGGAGGAAGGAAAAGTCCTGTGGGCCTCCGCAGCTTGCATGCCCGAGGAATCCCCAGGAGCGTGCGACAGTTTCTTCCGCATCCGTCTGGACGGGCCCCGCGGAGTGAGCTGTATCAGTGCTGGGACTCGGGCGGGCTCCTCTTGGAGCATGAAAGGCAGAGGGTGAAGTCCTCTCCGGTGGCTGGAGAACCTGGAGGTGGGGCTTGCTTTGCGTGAGGCCTGACTGGGGAGCTCGGGACTCTCACCACGACCCGCCTTCTCTCCCCCTTTCTGCTCTGCTTTGGAGGGGGTCTCCTTCCGTCTTGTTTGGCTACTACTGAGACCCCCTGGCCCCTTATTCATGCCCAGAAAGGGAGAGAGGGACTGCTCTTTGTCCTGTGTTTCCAGTAGAAGCCCAGAGATTGCCCAGAATGGACCGGCTAAGATGGCGATCCCCAAAGCACTTACGAGTGCACTGGTCCTCTGCTGGTGTTCAGTCGCTCGTGTTTTCATTTAATGCAACTCGGACATCTTCAGCACATGTCGCTCCAAGCAGCCGGCTCTGGAACGTGGAGACACAGGAGGAAGCATGCTAAGTTACACAGCGTGGGCCACTGCGGAGGTTACCAGGCTGGGAGCTATGGCTTCTCATTTTAAGGTTGCTCAGCTGGCGTTAATGGTGAAGAAACCACACGCCAGTGCAGGAGACGCAAGAGATGCGGGTTCAGTCCCAGGGTCGGAAAGATTCCCGGGAGGACGGCATGGCCGCCCACTCCAGTATTCTTGCCTGGGGAGTCCTATGGACAGAGGCGCCTGGGGGGCTATGGTCCTTGGGGTTGCAGAGTCAGACAGGACGGCGGTGACTTAGCACGCATGCATGCATGAACCAGGCAACCCTCTGTACCTTGGTTTTCCTGGCACAAAATGAAGGGGTTACAACACAAAGTTACCTCAAAGAAGCTCATTATTAGTAAAGACATCAGTCTCGTAGAAGAGAGAAATTATCTAGGACATGGGCTAGAGTTCATGTGTAATCATAAATTGTAATTAATATGTCACACTAGACAGTGGGTCTTGTCTAAATTTCACTAAAATGCTCAGTTCCCAATGCTCCAGGTGCCCTCCTGTTAGGAGACGGAATTCATTGCTTTCCTTTTCAAGGCCTGAGATGTTGTCAGAACATCTTGCTTGATATTTTGGCTCCTCTTGGGAATAGTTTCTATCCTGAACTGTTTTTCCTTCAGAAGCTCTGGACTCTTACCAAAGAGTAGCTGTTTTATTAACTATCCAGGACTTAAAGCCATTGACCTGAGACTTAGCGCATCTAGTAAATGGTTCTGGTTCCAACTTCTTGGGAAACTGGGCTCTTGCAATCCCTGTGACCTTTCCCCAGAGCCCCTCCTCCTCGCTCCAATTTAGGGTAATAGGGCCTGATTGCAAAAGATCTGTGCAGAGGACTCCTTCCCTGGAGGCAGAAGGAAGAGTCTCATGGGTCCAGGAGGAGAGTGGTGGTTCTGATGGGCAGTCCAGGAGAAGAAGGGTGGTTCTGACTTCCAAAGGGCTAGGAATCAACTTTAAGGGAAGTCCATGCTCATAAGGATCAGTTCAGTTCAGTTGCTCAGTCGTGTCTGACTCTTTGTGACCTCATGGACTGCAGCACTCCAGGCCTCCCTGTCCATCACCAACTCGTGGAGCTTGCTCAAACCTATGTCCATCGAGTCAGTGATACCATCCAACTATCTCATCTTCTGTCATCCCCTTCTCCTCCTTCCCTTAATCTTTCCTAGCACTGGGGTCTTTTCTAGTGAGTCAGTTCTTCACATCTGGTGGCCAAAGTATTGAAGCCTCAGCATCAGTCCTTCCAGTGAATATTCAGGACTGGTTTCCTTTAGGATGGCCTGGCTGGATCTCCTTGCAGTCCAAGGGACTCTCAAGAGTCTTCTCCAACACCACAGTTCAAAAGCATCAATTCTTCAGATTTTCCTATTTGGAACCAGTCTGTTGTTCCATTTCCAGTTCTAACTGCTGCTTCCTGACCTGCATACAGGTTTCTCAGGAGGCAGGTCAGGTGGTCTGGTATTCCCATCTCTTTCAGAATTTTCCACAGTTTGTTGTGATCCACACAGTCAAGGCATTAGTGTAGTCAACGAAGCAGATGTAGATGTTTTTCTGGAATTCTCTTGTTTTTTCTATGATCCAATGGATGTTGGCAGTTTGATCTCTGGTTTCTCTGCCTTTTCTAAATCCAGCTTGAGTATCTGGAAGTTCATGGTTCACCTACTGTTGAAGCCTGGCTTGGAGAATTTTGAGGATTATTTTGCTAGCATAAGCAATGAGTACAATTATGTGGTAGTTTGAGCATTCTTTGGGATTGCCTTTCTTTGGGATTGGCATGAAAACTGACTTTTTCCAGTCTTGTGGCCACTGCTGAGTTTTCCATATTTGCTCACATATTGAGTGCAGCACTTTAACAGCATCGTCTTTTAGGAGTTGAAATAGCTCAGCTGGAATTCCATCACCTCTACTAGCTTTGTTTGCCGTGATGGTTCCTGAGGTCCACGTGACTTCACGCTCCAGGATGTCTGGCTCTAGGTGAGTGACACACCATCGAGGTTATCTGGGTCATTGAGATCTTTTATGTGCAGTTCTTCTGTTTATTCTTGCCACCTCTTCTTAATATCTTCTGCTTCTGTTAGTTCCATACCGTGATACCTATAATCAATTGTTCCAGTCTCAAGTGTTTGTATTAACTTTCTGAGAACTTTCTTTACACACTATATGTAAAACCTCAAAGCCTGAATTTGTGTGTACTTATGGTGGCATGTCCAGAAGAAGCTTCATTTTGTGCATTAAGCTTTGTGTGTGTTCCCAGGTGGCGCGAGCGCTGGTGGTAAAGAATTTGCCCACCAAAGGACACACAGGAGAATGTGGGTTCGATCCCTGGGCTGGGAAGATCCCCTGGAGGCGGGCATGGCACCCCACTCCAGTGTTCTTGCCTGGAGCATCCCAGGGACGGGGGAGCCTGCTGGGCTGCCGTCTGTGGGGTTGCACAGAGTCGGACACGACGGAGGCCACTTGCAGCAGCAGCCGCCCCTGGAGTGGGGGCCCCGTGGGCTCCTCCGTGTCACTGCGGTCCTCACTGCATGCGCCGGTTCCCACCAGCATTCAGAGGACGAGCGGACGTCTCGTCCAGGACCTCTTCCCACGGGTCCACGGCGACCACCGCCCCCCTGTGCTGGGGGTCTGGCTCCGGCCCTGCGCCCCGTGGGGCAGGGGCGGCGAGGAGACTGACCAGCGCGTGGCCCTTCCTGCTCCCTTGCCGCAACCTGGGAATGCCAGGCCCCGACTGGCTCGGGCACAGGCCTGGCCACCTCCTGGGGGCAGCGGCCCCTGGGGGGCCCAGATGACGCTGGAGGCAGGCTTCTGTGAGAGGCCAGGCCTGCGAGGCAGGGCGGGGAGGGGTGCCTGGATCCCACCGTGTCCGCCCCAGTCGAGGGTCCCAGCGGAAGTCAGGTGCCTGCAGGGAGCAGCGCCTAGAGAGGCTCTCTTCTTCAAGCTACTGGTAAATGGTCAGCGTGTCTTTTCTTGTGAATTGTAGCAAAACTAAAAATGAACAGGTTCTGAGGTTTTACCGTCTGTTTCCGACTGAGTCGGGTCACCGCATCGTGCCGTCTGCTCATTTTGCTGAGCCTGACTCTGCTGGTCTCTGGGGTGAGCCCCCCGCGGCCCTGGCTTCCGTGGGGCACCAGCTGCCTGTGCCGGCAGCCGCTTGGACGGCGCCCCATTTGTGGGAGGCTCCGGGCACAGGGGCCCCCACGCAGGACCAGCGGCTGGGCGCTCAGTGGCCCACCCCACTCCCACCGGCTCTGTGACTGTAGGCACGCTGCCTCACCTCTCTGTAGCCTGTTCCTCTTTGGTGTGTGCCCGGTATAGATGTGTGTGCACACGCACAACTGAAAACTAGGACCTTCTTCACAAGGCTGTGGCTGTGACCGAATGTGTTAATACCAGTGAGCGACGCCAGTGAGTGACGCCAGCGAGTGACGCCAGTGAGTGACGCCAGCGAGTGACGCCAGTGAGTGACGCCAGTGAGTGACGCCAGCGAGTGACGCCAGCGAGTGACGCCAGCAAGTGACGTCAGTGAGTGACGCCAGTGAGTGACGCCAGTGAGTGACGCCAGTGAGTGAGTCTGTTGCCATTTTTCTCATTGTTCTTTCATCATAATTAGGAATGGATTCCTTACCTATGAGACCAAGACGTCTGGTTTCAGCAGCGGTTGGAGAACTATGTGTGGAGAATGGGCCACGTGATCCTCTTTCTGTCCCCCGTAAAATTCCTCCTCGTGTTGCGCGGGACGGTGTATTACTCTCTCTTTTTACTGCGCTAAATACACATAACATAGAAATTACCCTTTTAACTATTTTAAAGTCTCCAATTCAGTGGCATTACATCCGTTCACAACCTTATCTAGTCATCATCTCCATCATTTCCAGAAGCTTCTCATCTTCCCAGCCGGCATCTCGTTCCATCAGACACTGACTCCCCTCCCCTACCACCTAACCTCTAATCTACTTCCTGTCCGTGAAGTCGCCTATTCTGAGTCATCCCTGTGAGTGGAATCCTACAGCATTTATCCTTTGGCCTCTGGCTTACGGAACTAAGCACAGTGTCTTCTGCGTTCATCCACGCCATCGCAGGGGTCAGAGTCTGTTACTCTTTGAGGCCGGGTTGGATACACATGCAGTCTGCACTACAGACTACATCTCGTTTCCAGGGGTCTGTGGATGCAAACTCGTTTCTACGCTTTGGCTCCTGTGACCAGTGCTGCGGTGTACTCGGGAGCAGATACCTGTCCCTGCAGAAACCCAGCACTTCCCCTTTCAAAGCTGCACCCAGCTGTGATTTCTTGCAGCATATCCAAAAGTAGGCTGGAGTTTTCAAAAAGACCTCGTTAATTATCGAGGAGAACGGAAGAGAAAACCACGGGCATATAAGAAGCAGGAGATGGGTTCAGCTCCGAGACGTTGGCGACCTTGATGGGGACACGGGTCCCGTGTGGTCCCTGCTTCCCCCCAGGTCCCTGGGCTGGCACCGGGAGATGGGCCACGTCCCTGCGGAAGCCACTGCCCGTGGCCCACGACTCATCCTCACACACGTGCTGTGCTGCCCGTTTGGCCAAGAAAGTGATCCTCCGTTATCCACCTCTCAGGTGGTTCCACGTGGCTCTCGTTTGGGGACAGACTTGTCTCAGGCCTCAGGTGGCAGGTAAGACTTCAATAATCATGTCAGTCCTCAAGTGAGACCCAATCCAAGGGACGCAAGTCCGACAGGTGGCAGCATTCGCTGGAAATGCAGTGAGATCGTTGCGATGGTGGGTCCGCCTGCAAACATCTGGTGCAGACGTGAGCCACCAGGACATCCCCTCGGCGTTCTCTGACGTTGTTTCATGTGGTGACAGACCACCCCAAGGCAGCAGTCTGACAAGGAGCCCCCATCTACTGTGCCCATGAGTCTGGGGTTTGACTGAGTCAGCTGGGCAGTCCTCGTGTGGGGTCTCGTGAGGTCGTAAGCAGTGGGTGACTGACTGGGCTGTCAGAAAGTCTCACTTGTCACGTGTCTGGCGTGTGGACGGTTGAACAGCCGGGCCCGTGGGAATCTCCATCTCCGTCTGTCATCTTTCCGCGAGTGTCTCTCCAGCGTGGCCAGGCTTCTTATGTGGCCGCCGTTGACTAGCGGCTTGCAAGCCTCTGCACTTCCTGTTCCACTTCAACCTCGGGATGAAGAACTGCTGATGCTCAGATATACGTATGGTCTTTGACCATGACCATAGCAGTCTAAAAATCTATATGGTTAGGAAGAGAACTCTCAACAAGGGCCCCAGGGTGTCAGATGCAGCCAGTCCCAACTGCGTGTCAGGCTTTTAACGTCCATCATCTGCTTTGTGAGCCAGGAGCCCACGCTGCCTCCTGGCAGGGCTGGAAGGAGGATCTGCACCTCCTGGGTCCTGGGAGCTGGTGGTGACCCCCGTGGGAGGCAGGGACCAGGGCTCCGGCAGCCTGAACTTAACTCCAGCTCCGCCATGTCTGCGGTGGCAACTTTCTCAAACTCTCTGACCTTCTCATCCTCTTCGGAAAAGGGAGAATCCTAGTGGTACCACCTCGTGACTGGCGTGAAGACGAGATTAGCCGTTTTTTTACCACAAGCCCTGAGAAAGTGGTCTGTCCCTGAGTAGTGCTCAGAAAAGCCATTAGCTAGTCTTACCATTCACACGAGATCTTAGAATGTTCGCCATGAAGCAGAGCATTTTTATTGACAAGATTTTGGCCCAGAAAACGTTGACGCGTGTATACATGAGTAGACACAAATAGAAAGAGGAATAAAAATGTTCCGATGGGTTGGACACAAAGGCAGCCCTCCTTGGGCAATTATGAAGCTATAAAAAGAATGAAAGCAGTGCGTCCCCTCAACACATTCCCAGAACAACTTGGCTCGGGGGTAAATTACAGTACAGAGGAGTGCTGAGTACCCCGGGAGCTCCTTTGCTCAGCCCCATGGAAGTTTCAGGGCTGAATGCATTCGTTTTTTTGGCAGCAAGAAAAGCTGTCAAGCAGGAGTGTGAACATGGGGATTGCCAAGCCTGAAACAACGAGCAAACACATCTCACTGTTTTGAGGAGGCACCAAGGCCGGGCCCTGCAGCTGTTGTCCTGAATGACGCCCCTGGCTGGGGAAAAAGTGGAACGTAGTGATGTTATGATGAGCTGGGAGAGAGCGGCAAGGAGCAATTGCGATGCAGAGCGTGACGGATGCTCTTCTGTCCCTCGGAGCTGCCGGGACGCGCCGGACTGCGGAGCCGCACAATAGCTCGCTTTCTCCCTTCCAATTTGGCGAGCAGAGACGCGGCAGCACGCCACGCCTTTTGTTTTGCATTTTTTTCCCTTGACATAATTATGTCAGGTTTGTAGAACGGCTTGGAAGTAAAGTGGATGAACCCCTTGGAGGCACAGAGCTGTACTTCTATCCAGAACAGACTTCCTCTTGCTGATTTATACTTGGCAAATCACACTGAAATCTTCTCTTGGGGTCGTTGACATGATGGCCAACGATTCGTCTTTGCCAACATGGCTTCCAGGAAGTGTGGATTTTATTTACATCGTTGCTAATCACATTTTAAATCATGATTTATGTCACAGGCAGGAAGATTCGACTCAGATCATCCATCAAGGAGACTCAATTTGCTGTTGGCTTCTTCTGCAGTCTAGAGGCTTGGTTTGGTGGGAAGTTAATGTTCTTCACAGAGGCAGGAGGTATATTCTGTCTTCCTGCCATATTTTAATTTCATATCCTTTCAAATTCGATAATTTTGTAGCTGAGAAAAATGAGTGGTGATTCAGATGTCTCAAGCAAACTAGTCAAAGCATATTCTTTTATTTACTGGGAAATTAATAACCTCTAACTTAACAAAACTACCATGGAATATATGGAGAATGTATTCTGCCATACCATTTGAAAGAAAAGCCATGTGTAAGAAACATTTTGTTTAGCAGAAATAACAAATATATATTATACACACAGGTGTATACTTTAAAAGTAATTTTGGAGTCCAGCATGTGGGTTGAATTGGCAGCTGAAGACCTGGGTGCGCAAAGACCAGTTAGGATATTATTTCAATGGTCCAGCGAGGAGGTGAGCAGCACCCAACTCCAGGAAGTAGTGGCCCGTTGGGGGCAAGGGTGCCACTCTGATGGACAAACAGGAGAGACTCCCGAGTAGGGGGCGGTGAGTGTCGGAACAAATCATGGAATGTGGGCTTGGAAAGCATGCTTTACACAGGACGGCAGTCAGACTAAGACCTTGTTCCCGGTGTCAGTTTATTTTCCACTGAAAGTTGCCCTGTGATGCGTGTGTGCTCAGTCGTGTCCGACTCTCTGCGACCCCGTGGACCGTAGCCCGCCAGGCTCCTCTGTCCGTGGGATTCTCCAGGCAGGAAGCCTGGCGTGGGTGGCCACTGCCTCCTCCAGGGGATCTTCCCGAGCCAGGGATCGAACCCGGGTCTCTCGAGTCTGCTGCGTCGGCAGGCGGGTTCTTCACCGCCGTGCCAGCTGAGAAGCTCTGGAAGAGTTGATACTGTGCCTAATAGTCAAAGCCCCGATTTTGCGGAACTGGAAGCGCCTGAGTGTCCAGGTGCTCCTGTCCACACACTGCTTGCTGTGTGCCTTTCCCACTCGCTGAGAGGTCTTTCATCAGTTCATCAGACTTTTTAAAAAATCATATAATCATAGTTTCCTTGACTCTTTGTATAAAAGCATTTACATGTTATATGTATGTGAAATGTATTTGCATATAAAACATTGCAAGGAGAAATTAAAGATCTAAATGGAGAAATATACCTAACTTATAAACAGGAAGACTTGATTTAGCTAAAATGTAAAATCTCCCCCAAGTTAATCTACAGATTTAATGTGATTCTAATCAAAAGTGCAGCAGACCCTTGGCAAAAATTGATAAACTCTTAAGCATATATGAAGCTCAGAGATTATAGAGGAGTCAAAACAATCTTGAAAAAACTCAGCAAAGCTGAGGACTCATGCAGGATGATTTCATAGCTTACCGTAGAGCTAAAGAGATCAAAAGACAGCATTCTAAGGCCATAGCATGGACCAGTGGGTCACTGGAAGAGAACAGGGAGCCCAGAAATAGACTTGTACATAGTCAGCTGATATTCCATCAAATGTTGCTGGCAGATACCTCAAAAAGAAGAATTCAAATAGCCAACAGGCACGTGAAGAGATGCTCACATCGTCGTCATCCGAGAAATGCCGTTTAAAACCAAAATGAGGGCCTGTTGTTTCCCAACAGAATGGCGAATATGAAGACCAGGCAAAGTGTTGGCAGAGATGAGGAACAGCTAGACCACTCCTCCGTTACTTGCAGGAGTGCACGGTGGTACAGCCACTTCGGAAAACTGGTGTTTTCCTATGAAGTTGTGCACACACCTGCAGGAAATTCCATCTC